GATAGATAGATAGATAGATACACACATACAGATAAGTTGGAAGTTGCCATACAAACGGTGAGAGGCTAATTAGTTAAGATGAGCTAATTAGCCTCTTACAGTTTGTATGGGCAACTTCCACCTTCTCTGTATGTATATCTATCTTCTTACTATATGTTCCATTCTATGCATCCGATGAAGTGAGCTGTAGCCCATGAAAGCTTATGCTCTAATAAATTTGTTAGTCTCGAAGGTGCCACAAGTACTCCTGTTCTTTTTTCAGAATTAACTATTATGCATGGGACTCAGGATAATTTAGCCCCCAAACAATGGGAAGGCAGACGCAACTGAACATGAGTAACTGGCTCAGCTGCACTCTAACTCTTTAGAGCTCAATGCAGAGCTAATCCAAAATGCCCTATTGTTATTCTGTCTGAAGACTCCCAAAATACAATCCCCAAGTAATAGGGAAATAGAAAATGTAATACACTTTCACAATGGGGGAGAAAGCACCCTGTTCTGGAGAATGCTGCATTGTTTGGACCCAGTCCTACCAGGTGGTGAGCACACAGTGAAATCCAGTTGAAGCCATTGAGAGTCCAGGAGGCTCAATGCCTTTCATGAAATGCTCATTACCTGACAGAATCAGGCCTTTTGTGAGGAAAGAATTCCCCATAGGTCTTATATTGTGTTTTTTGTCAGTATCTCTCAAAGCAGAGAACAGAGGTAAGTATCACTATCCCCATTTCACAGGTGGGGAAACTGAGCCTCAGAACGTTGATGTGACTTGCCGAACATCACCCAGCAGGCCAGTGGTGGAGCTGGGAATAGATTCTAGCACTCTTGAGCCCCAATCCTGGGCACTATCCATAAATCTACACTAACTCCCAAGCAAGGGGTGAAACTTTTGTATGATCCAACAATTCAAGGCCTGATTTTCAGAGGTGCTGAGCAACTGCCACTCTCACCGCAGATGCTTAACACCTCTGAAAAAAATCAAGCCATTAATGTTTTGGTTTTTTCTTTTTTATAATGAACAGTGAATCACCAGGAGGGTAAACAGCTTCAAGTGCTAGCATCACTCAAAAAGCTCTGATTTGCAGCTGATTCCACACAGGAAAACCCCATGTGCCAGGACAGGGCTGCACTGAAGTCAGCAGATCTCCATCCACACACAGGACAAGTTGCAAGATCAGTCTAACAAGGTTATCCTATGCTATGGAATTATTATTAGTAAAAAACAGGTAAAATTGCAGCCTTCCCTTGGGCATAAACTATTTTCCACACCTGCCTGAACAATAATCCTTATCACAAGCTAATAGGTGCTTTTGGAATAAATGGAACTTTATTTATACACCTCAGGATGTCAAATTAATAAATGGTCTTTTGCAATTTCAGAGAAAAAAATGTTTTACAATAAATTGCCATCTCCCCCTCCCTCTGCCAAACAAGAACTGCTATCACTCACTTTGAACTGTAACTGTTTAACCCTCTGTATATTGGGTGGTCCGGAGGGGGGTAGGTGAGTAGCTGCAGGAGGCAGCAGAGGCCAAAGGCAATGGGTAAAGGGTCAGGGGAGGCAGCGGGGGCCAGCAGCACCAAAATACAACCATACATTTAGGGGGGAGGGATAGCTCAGTGGTTTGAGCATTGGCCTGCTAAACCTAGGGTTGTGAGTTCAATCCTTGAGGGGGCCATTTAGGGATCTGGGGCAAAAATTGGGGATTGGTCCTGCTTTGAGCAGGGGGTTGGACTAGATGACCTCCTGAGGTCCCTTCCAACTCTGACATTATATAACATTATTTTTATTACTGAGTCTGCAAAAAAACCCAACAACCTACATGAATCAATTACAATGACTTGTACATGTATATGTGCATATTTATTTGTTTTTCCTAAAGTTAATTAAGTATTTTTGGACAATTTGACAGAGTGTCCACCAGCAAGAGTTGGTGGCCACACTCTGAGGCCACCAAACAATTTGTTGTGAGAACCCCTGGTTTAGGGTGTATCTCAGTTCTGATCAAACAAACAACTGCTTATCACTGCTATTTGTCCAGCTCTAGCCTTGGTATGGCTGCCCGCTAGAGAAACCAACATCATGTCTGCATATCTGTAGCATTCAGGACTGGAAATACTACTAGAAAATAAAAACTTTGACTGAGTTTTATATTTGGAAGTACCGAAGGAAAGAAAACATGAGAACCGTGCTATTTACTTAAATACTCCAAGATGTGTCTCAGGATCCACTTTAACAATGGTAGTGAATTGTTAACCTCAGTTGTGGTGAAATAGCACAAGAGCGTACCAGTCAAGCCCTGAAGTATGATGGCAGAGTTGGCTTTAATCTAACAAGTATTCATTATGATTTAATTATTAGCAGCTGCCTTGCATGCAGAGCGAGAGCATAAATAAGGATCAGAAGGAACAATTCTAAGCTGTCACTAGACTAAGTACATTGGGCCGGATCCACAAAGGGACTTAGACATTCCAATACTTGGCATTGTGGTGGCTAAGTTTTAGACACCTAGAAAATCACAGGAACAACACTGTGATCCACAAAGCCTATGTTAGATGCTTAGGTTCCCTTTACAATGCATGAGGAGAGAGAGGTGCCTTAGAATGCAAACCACAAAAGCCAGTGGACAGCTACCTACACTAGCCAGTGGAAGGTGCCAGTAAAAGTGGTGTGTGCTAAGCCCCTCTTTTCTTTTGGAATAGGCACCTAAGTCCATGCTGCAAGGATGTGACTCTCTCTACTAGCAATCCACAAATGGGAACTGTCTTCTAGAGTCATGTGGCTTAGAAACCTCTTTAGTTTCTTTGGGAATGAGTTAGGTGTCAGCCTTGCCCCACAAACAGCAGGTGATGGCAGTGCTGCCCACCTTAGAGCTCGGTGGTTAGAGTACTCACCTGGGATGTGGGAGACCCAGCTTCAGAGGTCTCCCTCCTCTTAGAAGCACACTCAAACCACTGGGATAGCCTGATATGGGGCTCCCTCAATCCTTGCTGTTGAAGCTGTTTCACTGTGGATAAAAAATGAAAGTGTTTGGTGCAGGAGGACTGCCACCTCTAACCACTCTCTAACCACTGCTTGCCCCACCCTGTCAGCAACCCTGCCGGTAGGGTGCCTACCCGTCGGCAGCCCTGGGTCGGGGGAAGAGGGGCAGTGACGTTAAAGTGCTGCCATGGCTGCGCTTTAAAGTCAGCTGCATATGGGGCCGATACTGGCAGCCACTTCTTACTGGTACGCCGTACCGGCCCACTTTCACCTCTGACTACAATGTTAAGCAAGGAGTTACTATATAGACATGCTGCACCAGCGTCGAGTAGGGTTAAACTAGTTTAGTTTGACTCAGAACAATAAAGCAGAACAAACAGAAAGAAAGTGACTCAAGTCAGTTCTCTATGAATCTGCAAAGTAATGGAATAACAAAAACCTGTCTGAGGGGGTTTATGTGTCTTTATAGTTACACCTTGACCCCCAATTATATTTGAGGTACTTGTTGAAGATGTTGCAGAGGCACCCATATCTGAAAAAGGGGTTTCCTCCTTTTGGTTTGGAAGCGCCAAAACACTCAGGCTGACAGGCTGTTACTGACTGGGAAGTACTGTAAATCTTTCAAGAAGCCCATGTTCTCACAAGATGTCCCACCTGATTTCTACACCAAAGAAGTTTAGATAAGAATCCAAATCTTTTGAGATTCATCCCTCACTAGAAGCCAGATGGCTTGACCCACTGGTTCCAAAGTGACAGTGTAGCAGCTGGTTGAGTGGACAGGGCAAAGGCCAGAGACAAAGGTTTTGCCCCTTAAAGCTTCTCTCTACGGAGCCCAGATGAGGTCAATGGGCCTCCATGTGGACACATATTCACATGGAGCCATTTGCAAAGTCAAGGCCAAAATATGAAGGGAGTTTTAACAGAACAAGGTCAACTGTGATTCCTCCTGCTGCACCAAAAAAACCTGCATGTCCTTTTTATTTTCTATTCTACCTGTTCCTGCTATTAAATTTTAATACCATATATCCTTGTAAAATACAAGGAAGGTCATTCAAAAATAACTATTTTATTAAAAAGGGACACTGGCAGATTAAAAATCATGTTAAAAAAAAGCACTAATCTGTGTTATTAACATATTAAGCAGTCTCTATTTATGACCTAAACGTTCTTAAATTGCCGGCAGGTTCTTAGGAGGGGCTGAGAGGCTTTTCTTTGTCTCCCACCTCCGCAGTGGGCTGGCTTGCCCACTGCTCTTTTCTTCCACAGCCAGCTCCCTACAAATCTCAATTTTTTGTTATGGTCTTACCAACTCACCTTTGTGGCCCCTTCTCCACCTCAACATGGTTGTAGATGGTGTAGTGGTTTCATTTAGTGGCACTAGTTGGTGGTGCTGAGAGAGGCTCTTCTTGGCTGTTGTGGAAGATAATTGATGTTAAGTGCTGGCACAGGTTCTAATGCATAATGACACTAGCAGTGCTGTCAGTGATTGATGTCAAATGTTGATACCCTCCGGCTCCATGTCCCCCTCCCTCCCAGTCTCTTCACCACAGCCTCAGTCCACCTTCTTGACCATCTTGTCCTCATCTCCCTTGCCCTGTCCCCCTCCCCTTCCTTTTTCTTTCCATTTAGCTGATTCCCTTCTAACTAAACCCACCCACCTCCCCCAGAAATGGAATGGAATGAACAGTGTCACTATCACAGAGTTGACTCTGCTTTTCTGTTCGACCCCCTTCCCCCAGCCTTTGTCTTTTTGCTCTGTTTAGATTGTATGCTCTTGAGGTGGGGACCATCTGCTAGCTGTCTCTACTGCGTCTACCACAATCGGGCCTTGCTCTTGGCTGGCCCTGAGGCACTACCATAATAAACAGATTAAATAATACTAATTTTCAGTGTTGATGAGTCACTGTGTTACTAACATCAGACACTGAAACTGTTGCTAGACTGTTTGTCTGTCTTTGGCATTTCACTTCAGTGGCACTGTGAAACTAGAATGGTTTGTCTCTGTATGGTTTCATGTTCTGGTTCGGTGGTGTAAGGGCTGTTGGCAAACACTTGTTTTCCTGCTGTCAGTCATTTCTGCCTTCATGCCCCGGTTTCAATGAATTCTAAAAATCAAGAAAGAAATCAGTCAGTGATTGGGAAGGAAAATAAAGGCCAGGAAGAGGAGGAAAAGAGAAAGAAACAGGTGAATGTCAAACCAAAAAACAAACAAAAGAATTTACAGTACAATGCCTACCAAAATCAAAGCAGCAAAAGTTGCAGTGAATGAAAACCCGAGGCTGACTTGATTTACTTTCATGTCTTAGGACATTTAGTTCCGTACAGTACACTGTCCAAGGCAATTATAAATATTACAATTTCTGCCACTGAAAGGCATCCAAATCCATTCATAAGAAAACATCAAACGTTGCCTGTCAGCCACACGAACACTTTATGACAGATATTTATACCAAGATAAAACTCACATCTTTAATCACTCTGAATAAGCTGTACAGAAGAGCAAACCAAGCCTAGGGTGATTGTCTCTTCTTTTTTTTACTTTTTAAAAGATTTTAGAGAATATGAACCTGGGTTCTCAGGGAGCTGTTTTACTCTAATTTTCTTAAATGTGCTGATCTTAGAAAAAATTGTCCAGGATTTTTTTTAAAAAAATGATGTCTGGAGTTAGCCTCCTAAATCCATAGTTAGACACTGAAACAAATGGCCTGATTTTCAAAAGTGCTGAGCACTGAACAGCTTCCACTGCAGTCAATGACAGCGGCTGGGAGCTCACCTCATTTGAATGTTAGAATAAGTCCCAAGGGAGATGGATTAGTGACTAGAGGGCTGGTGAGTCAGTTAAAGATGTGTGAAAAATATCTATCCCATGAATTTCCAGTGTGTCACATAGATATCACCTCCACATATTTGTCATGATAGATGCACATTCAGCAGCACAAGGAGCAGCACAAGGGATTCACTGCATGTTACTTACATTAAAAATTAGAAAAAGCTCCTAAGAGAGGTGACTGGTAAGCTGTTCATCTCTAGGTCACGGTTTCTAATCAAGCCAGGGTTGGAAAGCTGGTACCAACCGATACCTGCGGGACCTGTGGGAAGTGAGTCAGTTCCCTTGGTGCGTCTTCCTAGTGAACAGACCCCGTGCCACAGTCAGCATCAGAGACAAAGGGCACAAAGACTGATTTATTCTCTCAACCCTAGCGGTGCCCCTGCCAGGTAATAGCTGATGCCCATTTTGTGGGAAGATTGTGCGTAACTTCTCCTTCTGAGACTAAATAGAGGACGTCAGTTTCCAATATTTTAATTTGGCAACTTTCATGAACATTAACTTCTTTTTCTTACATTTCTCTCTCACTTATTTTGTATGAATTGGTCAGTTTAAAATTGTGAATGGCATGGAGCTTAGTTTAGAACACAATTTTAGCACAGTAAAAACCTTTCTGTGCTACATAATTCCACTCAGTATAATAATCATTATGAAGTCAGTTGGAGTGCAAGAAAACATATCTTCAAAGGAAAAAATACAACCGTATCTACCTAATTATACATCAAAGAGTACTTAGGAATAAATTCTGTTTTTTGCAATGTTTGGGTTTTTTGTGCCTACTTTCGTCATAATTTGAGAATACTGCTTCTAGTATTAACCATAGATTTATGCTTAACTGTGCTCAGATATTAGAAGTGTCCAAATGTTCTTTTACAAATTCATTCTATTCCCATCATTACAGATTCTCATTTCATATTTCTTGTAACTCTAGTCCATTCTTCTTACAGAATTATTTCCACTGTGGTCCATTTCTTAATAACTGCAGTCTTGTCACAGTTCAGCATAATATTTTAAAAGGGCATAAAGGTCCAATTATACCAGTTTTGTATTTGCTATTTGTATTTCAGTTTTCAATTATTTTCACATTTGTGTTATCTTCTCTACAAAAACGTTTATATAGTGGAATTCTCATAGTATATGCAAGAATGCATCAGACTCTGATACTTACCTCGTACATTGTCGGGAAACATTTTTATTACACTTGCTGTATCATATATAGAAGTAAATTTATGCTGTGACATTTGAGATTTGGCAGCATTACTCCCATGTACATTAATGGAAACCTTGCTGCTGAAACCTCTGATGCAGTGCTGAAAATGTACCCCTGAGTAGTATGGTAACATAAAGTAAAATAAAATACTGTCTCAAGACATTTTGAACCTAAATGCATATTTTAAACCTCATATGTTTAGGTTTGTCACAAACCATACTTTTCCCAGTTTTGTTTTAATTTATCATTATTATTGGCTAACTCACCAACATGCGTGATGCCTCGAAGGCATGCAATCTAAACAAGACTAGGGAGTCAGAGCTTTCAATGTGTAAAATGATATAACTCCATTGACTTACACCAGCTTGGGATCTGCCCCATAATATAGACAGGATGTACTGAGAAGCCAAGAGAAATGAATGACTAAAATTCTTTTATTTTAATTCCATATTAATATTTTTGCGGATTCACTTCTTGTGGGCATTCTGAAAGAAGGAAGACTCTGGGTGGGACCTGCATGAATAGAGAGTAGTAGGTCATTGATCAGAATAGCAAGGGCGTCCCACAGACAGGGGAAGTGTTGAAAAAAACCAATGGAGATAGAAAAAACAAATGAAGGCTGGGATCATTAGCAGAATGGAGAAAGGGGGATAGTGATATAATAAGAGACTAAAGTTGAGTGTAGCCCTGGTGGCACAAGCTAACCACCCCAAGTATATACCTACCGACTTGGACGGGTATGTACTTAGGGTGACTAGCCCCTCTGCTGCTCACCCCACCACAGCTATGTTCTATTTTCAGCACACTAGCGCAGGTATGTCTCCTTTAGCTGAAATGTACACCTTCAGCATGAAGGCAGAGATGTAGGCCAGAGCAGAGTTATGTAGGGCTTTAAAGACAAGGAGTTTAAATTCATGCAGTGGAAAATGAGCTGGTGGAAAACTTAAAGAGGTGATGTGATCAGATCAGTAGGTGAAGATGATGAATTTTAGTGGCCATGTTTAGGATGGACTGAAGGGGAACAATATAGATGTCAAAGAGTATACAGAGGAAGGAGGCTGCAGTAATCAAACCAGGAGATGGAGCATGGAGAAGAGTGTCATGTGTCTGATTTGGGAGGGAGAGACAGTCAGGTGCTCACAATACAGATATGTCTCCTATATCTTTGCACTACCATCAAGCTAAAGGCACATCCCTGACACAAAGGCCACTCCCCTGACAATTTTCAAATCCTTGCTCCAAGGCTAGAGCATTTCAAAGAAGTCTCAAGAATTTGAGCAAACCAATGTAATGTTTCTTAGATTTGTTCTCAGAAATAGCTGGACTGTTTGGGCCGAAATTTTCAACAACAACAAAAAATCAGCTGGAGCAAACAACTGGTATGGAAAGATTTTAAAAACTGGCTAAATTATAGGCAATGGAAAACAAGGTTTTATGGTGGGAATTATTGAGCAATTAAAGTAGTAGGTGGGGCAGGTAACCTCACCTATAATATGCACTGATTAAATAAAAATTGTTTGACAAGCAGTCTGACTATTTTTCCATTTTCTGGTACTGTAATACTGGAACTAAAAAATAACTCCTCTGTTTCCAGAGCAGCTTGCAAGGCTTAGAAAAATGGCTACAATTAGAGCCAATGGGAACCCTACAGATAAATGGGAGTCATACAGCTAAAACATCACAAAATATTTAGCCATTTTTCCTAAGTACAATTTTTCTGTTTAAAAAGGAACATCTGATTCAAATATTGAAATGTTGTTGCTAACTCACTCACTTTTTTATGAGAAATATCCAAACTCTTCTAAAAGCACTTTAAAATTCCTTCTTAGAAAAAAATACCTTAAATATTTTAATTCCCAGACCAGCAGTGTCACAGGAGACCATTATGAAATCTTCAAGTAAAATCTACTTTACAAAAAGTAAATATTGATATTGTTATACAGTTAAGAGGTGGAATATTAAAATAAACTAGTAACAATACTTTGAACTTTTCTATGGACTTCTATCCGCAGACCTTGGAGAGCTGTACCTATATTACTGAGTTAAGATTCACATTTTCTCTGGAAAGTAGAAAACAGGATGATCCTCATTTTAGAGAGGGGGAAACTGAGGCCTACAGAGAAATAACTAATTTCTCCACGGTCACCCAGGTGATCACAGGAGAGCCAAGAAGAGAACACAGAACTCCTATGCTTAGCCACAGATCCATCTTTTCCCTCTGTCATAAAAATGAAACAGGGAATTTTTTCTAAGACATGTTCATACTTCCTAGATCTTATTCTGAACAGAACCATAATAAAAGAACATACTGTATGCCTTAATCTGGCAGACAAAAAGAAATTACAAATCTGGCAGAGCCAATATGCTAGTTAAATATCAGGATCAAATGTACAACATGGTGAAAATGAAAAGCAAAGTTCCAGCAGTGTTTGGTTACTTTTCTGTAAGCTATTATAACAGACAAACGGGAATAAGGCTGTGTGGAAAGATTAAATTATGAGATAAAGCATAAAATAGAATTACCTGAATGTAAAGAAATTAAAGATGGAAAATGTGACTAATGATGAAGTGGGAGAAAGAAAACACACTTTTACATGCACCCATTTGTGCAGTGTGGGAGAGAATACACGCTATTCCTCACTTGATATGTAATACTCATCAGATTCTATCCCCCATCCACATCCCACGCAAAAACTGTGGCTACATATACTGCAGGGAAATATTACCACATGCTCATCAACATTGGAGTCTTACAGGGGACTGATCCCTTAGACAGTGGCGGGCAGGCAGGCGGGGGGGGGGGAGGAAAGGGGAGAGTAACGAATGCAGTACTCCAGCATTATCCTGAGATGATGCAAAAGGGACACAAGGGAATCTCTAGCTCTAAAACAGGTGATATGGGGAGATGCTTGCCTAATGTTGATTAAAATCCAGTTTGTGCCCACAGAATTTAACTGTTGGAGAATTCTCAGCTCATTTAAATAGGACCTCTAAGCCTATCATGATGCCTGAGTTGGAGTGATCTAGTGCAGAAGTGCTATTCAGGTTAAAGTTGCATGTAAAAATCA